GTGCCTGGTTGGACCAAGGAGAACTCTGACGCCCATACTGTTTGATGAACCCTGGTAACTGTTGATTACGGTGAGACAGAGGATGATGTAGAGTGCGACCTGACCAGAACCCTGATGTCTGAGATTTTTTGAAGATTATATCTCTCTACATGCGTATTTTATACGCACTTCTGGTGAGTGCGCAATCTATTTGTTTCAAGGATCTTTACCTCCGAATTGCACAACATTCTATTTATCCCTTACAGCAATTGACATGGGAATTTGGAACTATTGTGTGCTTTGTCATCATTAACTGAATAGCGCATTGCGTAATATTGCATTTTATTTTTGCTTTTTGTCTCTTTTTCTGCCTTTGTATATACGCTTAGGACATTTACATTGAGAACTTATTTTATGTTTTCTGATTCAAGCGCTGCACCGATCCTTCTCTTTTTTCTATTGTTTATTGAAAGGTTGGTTGGTTACCTTTTTTTTGGTGTTCTAGCAGCTTATATAGACATTTTTGTAGCGCTCGCTATACCTTTTACACCTTAACCGTTCCCCTGAATATTGTATCTGACCGGGGAGTGCAGTTTACATCTAAATTCTGGAAAGCTCTGTGTGAGGCATTAGAGATCAGGTTATGCTTCTCATCTGCTTACCATCCTCAAACAAATGGACAGAAGGAGAGGACAAACCAAACTCTGGAGCAATACCTCCGATGCTTCTCCTCGTATTCACAAGACAACTGGGCTTCGCTCCTTCCATTAGCAGAATTCTCCTATAACAATTCCATCCATTCCACTACCAAGCAATCTCCGTTTTTCTCTAACTACGGATACCACCCCACCTTTCTTCCAGAAATACCAGTAGAGGCCGCTGTGCTGGCAGTATAAGAAAGGATGGAGTTCCTCTGGAGGAACTGTGAAATCCTACAAAAGACATTTTCCAAAGCTCAGGCGAGCAACAAGAAATATTTTGATAGGAAAAGAAGGGGTAACCTGGAACTGAAACAAGGGGACAAAGTCTGGCTATCCACGGCCAACCTGAAACTAAGTTGTCCATCAAGGAAGCTTGGTCCAAGGTTTCTGGGACCATTTTCTATCAAGAGAAAGGTGAACCCTGTAGCGTTTGAACTAGAATTACCTAAAAACTTGAAGATTCACCCAGTATTCCATTGCTCCTTGTTGAAACCACACATCCCAAGTGGGTTTCCCAACCGGAATCTGGAGGCGCCTGCGCCGTTGCTGGAACGAAGAGTATGAGGTTGAGGCTATTCTGAACTGTAGGAAGGGGATGGGCAGATCCAGTTCCTCATCAAATGGAAGGGTTACGGACCAGAAGATAACTCCTGCCCATGCCCCACGGATAGTTCGAGCCTACCTCCATTGTCATCCTGAGAAACGAGCGCTAGTGGGCATCCAGAGGCTGCCCATTGGGGGGGGCAATGTCAGGGAACAAGAAGATCGCTGCAGCTCATGAATCTCGACAAGGCATACAGGCAGGCGGGCACTAGGACCCAGGCACGCCTGTCACCAATGACGGAACTGGCAGGCACTAGGACCCATTTCTTTTTTTCCAAATCTTTCAGGACCATACAGTTGCAAGAAAAAGTATGTGAACCCCTTGGGATTACGTGGAGTTTTGCATGAATTGGGCATAAAATGTGCTCTGAACGTCATCTAAGTCACACCAATAGAAGAACACAGTCTGCTGAACATAATACTACACAAACATTAGATGTTGCCATGGTTTAATTGCACATAACATGTACACATTCACAGTGCAGGGAGGAAAAAGTATGTGAGGCCCTAGCTTAATGACTTCTCCCAGAGCTAATTGGAGCCAGGAGTGAGCCAACCTTGACTCCAATCAGTGTGATGATATTGGATGTGTTGCTGACAGCTGTCCTGCCCTTAAAAAACACACACCTGTTTTGGGTTTACTGGTTTCAAGAAGCACTGTCTGATGTGAACCATGCCTCGCAGAAAAGAGCTCTCAGAAGACCTACGATCAAAAATTGTTGACTTGCATGAAGCTGGAAAGGGTTACAAAAGTATCTCCAAAAGCCTTGATGTTCATGTGTCCACGGTAAGACAGACTGTCTACAAATGGAGAAAGTTTAGCACTGTTGCTACTCTCCCTAGGCATGGTCGTCCTGTAAAAATGACTGCAAGAGCACAGCGCAGAATGCTGCATGAGGTAAAGAAGAATCCCAGAGTGTCAGCTAAAGACCTACAGAAATCTCTGGCACATGCTAACATTTTTGTTGACACATCTACAATAAGGAAAACACATTAAACAAGAATGGAGTACATGGGAGGACACCACGGAAGAAGCCATTGCTGTCCAAAAAGAAGATTGCAGCACGTTTGAAGTTTGCAAAAGAGCACCTGGATGTTCCACAGCACTACTGGCAAAATATACTGTGGACAGATGAAACCAAGATTGAGTTGTTTGGGAAGAACACACAACACTATGTGTGGAGAAAAAAAGGCACAGCACACCAACATCAAAACCTCATCCCCACTGTGAAACATGGCGGAGGGAGCATCATGGTTTGGGGCTGCTTTGCTGCCTCAGGGCCTGGACGGATTGTTATCATTGATGGGAAAATTAATTCCAGAGTTTATCAAGACATTTAGCAGGAAAACGTACGACTATCTGACCAACTGAAGCTCCGCAGAGGATGGGTGATGCAACAGGACAATGACCCAAAGCATACAAGTCATTCAACAAAACAATGGCTGCAACAGCACAGAATACGCCTTCTGGAGTGGCCCAGTCAGAGTCCTGACCTCAACCCCATTGAAATGCTGTGGCACGACCTTAAGAGAGCGATTCACACCAGACATCCCAAGAATATTGCTACACTGAAACAGTTTTGTGAAGAGGAGTGGTCCAAAATGACTCCAGATCGTTGTGCAGGTCTGATCTGCAACTACAGGAAACGTTTGGTTGAGGTTATTGCTGCCAAAGGAGGGTCAAGCAGTTATTAAGTCCAAAGGTTCACATACTTTTTCCTCCCTGCACTGTGAATGTTTACATGTTATGTGCAATTAAACCATGGCAACATCTAATGTTTGTGTAGTATTATGTTCAGCAGACTGTGTTCTTCTATTGTTGTGACTTAGATGACGTTCAGAGCACATTTTATGCCCAATTCATGCAAAACTCCACGTAATCCCAAGGGGTTCACATACTTTTTCTTGCAACTGTATTTTTAAAAATAGTGATATGGGAATGGGCGGGAGGGTTAAAAAGTGAGGCATTTCTGAGATTTGAGTTCTTAAAAGCAACCAAAGTTGAATCAGTAGTATCCCTAGTGATAGGGTTACTTAAAAAGTGTCATTTTAGAGATAGTTTTCTAGTAAATCTGTGGATGTGGATGTAACCAATACCGGTATTTTCAATCTTAGTAACAAAATCCTCTCTGATGAAGAACTAAATCTTCTTAATAAAGGTTTAAAATACGCCCCACCAGTTAAACTCAATAAATTTAGTACTTTTATCGACATCCACAGATTTACTAGAAAACTATCTCTAAAAAGACACTTTTTAAGTAACCCTATCACTAGGGATACTACTGATTCAACTTTGGTTGCTTTTAAGAACTCAAATCTCAGAAATGCCTCACTTTTTAACCCTCCCGCCCATTCCAATATCACTATTTTTAAAAATATGGTCCTGAAAGATTTGGAAAAAATGAAATTAAAAAATCCAACTAACAGGTATTATGATCAGAAACGTATTGACTTACTGACAAAAAAGCTACTAGACGATAAAGAGTTAGTAGTCCGTCCTGCAGACAAAGGAGGGGGAGTAGTTGTCATGAACAAAAGTGAATACCTGTTACAGGTGCTTAATATCTTAGATGATAAGGACACATATATGGAATTACCGAGCAACCCCCTCATCCCTTATAAAAAATTGCTAAAGACATTAATAAAAAAAGGCTTTGAGGATGGCATTTTGAGCAAAAAAGAGAAAGACTACCTTTGCCCAACAGTCCCTAAGTTACCAATTTTATACTATCTGCCCAAAATTCATAAAGACCCTGTCAACCCCCCAGGCCGCCCAATAGTCAGTGGCATTGACTCTCTCTGCTCCCGTGTGGGAGAGTATATAGACCACTTTCTTCAACCTTTAGTGTGCAATACCCCAGATTTCCTGAAAGACACCAAATAGGTTTTGACGGATATAAAAGATATTACACTCCATAGCCCCACTTTTCTGGTGACGGCTGATGTGGCAGCATTATATAGCAACATCAAACATGCTGATGGCCTTGCCGCTGCAGAATTTTATCTTAACACAGCAGAAGATATCCCCTCCTCACAAAAGCACTTTATTCTGGATCTGCTAGACTTCGCCATGAGTCATATTTACTTTTGGTTTAGTAACAAATATTACTTACAAACGACCAGCGTTGCTATGGGTGCGAAATTCGCACCCAGTCTAGCTAATTTATTCATGGCAAGATGGGAGGAGGACTTGATTTATTCAAGAGACTGGCCGCAATTAATATTTTACTGTCGTTATATAGACGATAGTCTGCTACTTTGGGAAGGAGACAAATTTACTTGTTTCACTAAAATGTTTCACTATCTCAACTATAACTCATGGAATATTCAACTCTCCTTCCAGCATGTAGTCTATGAAATTAATTTTTTGGATCTAACTTTATTTAACGATGGTAGAGGTATTTCCACCAAAAGTTTCTTTAAACCAACTGACATTAATAGTTTTATCCCCAAGGATAGTTGCCACCTACCAAGAATGCTTGACAACATCCCAAGAGGGCAATTTTTACGCCTCCATAGGAACTGTGCAAAAAGGGAAGATTTTGCTATTCAATCCAGTATTCTTAAAAATAGATTTATCGAAAAAGGATATGACTAGAGATGAGCGAATTATTCAAAAATTCGATTCGGCGAATTTGCGGAATAAATTTGATTCTATGCGAATTTATTCGCTGCGAATTTAACTTATTAAAAGGGTTTCTAGGCTTCAGAGAGCCTTTATATTAGTGCAGAACACTGTACCTTTAATTTAAATGCCCTTGGAGTCTGCTGGGGAAGAGAAATAATACTGTCAGTCAGTATGACATGCAGATGAGTGCCGTCGATCTTAGAATCACCGCACACTTCACTCATTTGGGCAGTCACGGGGCCAAAACCAGAGTGTGGAGCCACAGTGTGGCGGTGGAGGCAGCAGCAATGGGAGGCCATACAGCACCCTATGACAAAATGGAACCCACCAGCAGTGTGGGCAGAGTGTGGCGATGGAGACAGCAGCAATGGGAGGCCGTACAGGGACCCATGACACACTCTGGACCTGGCAGCAGCATGAGAAGGCGGTACAGGGGTCCATGGCAGAGTGGCGAAGCGTAAGCAGCTTAAATTGAAGGCCATACAGAGGCCTATGTTAAAAAGTCCCCCCAGCAGCAGTGTGGGGAGACGACTATCAAGAGTCCAATGGCAGAGTGGCGGAGCAGAAGCAGCTTCAATTGAAGAAGAAGAGGATGAGGATGATGAAGAAGAAGAAGATGAGGATGAAGAAGAAGAAGAAGAAGAGGATGAGGATAAGGGAGAAGAAGAAGAAGAAGAGGATGAAGAAGAAGAAGATGAGGATGAAGAAGAAGAAGAAGAAGAAAGAAGAAGAAGAGGATGAGGATGAGGAAGAAGAAGAAGAAGAGAAGAAGAAGAAGAAGAGGAGGAAGGAGGAGGAAGAAGGAGGAAGAAGAAGAAGAAGACTGGAAGAAGAAGAAGAAGATGAGGAAGAAGAAGAAGAAGAAGATGAGGAAGAAGATGAGGAAGAAGAAGAAGATGAGGAAGAAGATGAGGAAGAAGAAGAAGATGAGGAAGAAGATGAGGAAGAAGAAGAAGAAAGGATGAGGAAGAAGAAGAAAATGAAGAAGAAGAAGAAAGAAGAAGAAGAGATGAGAAGAAGAAGAAGAAGAGGAGAAGAGAGAAGAGGATGAGGATGAAGAAGAGGATGAGGATGAAGAAGAAGAAGAAAAGGATGAAGGATGAAGAAGAAGAAGAAGAAGAAGAAGAAGAGGATGGATAAGGGAGAAGAAGAAGAGGATGAGGATGAAGAAGAAGAAGAAGAAGATGAGGATGAAGAAGAAGAAGAAGAAGAAGAAGAAGAGGATGAGGATGGAAGAAGAAGAAGAAGAAGAAGGAAGAAGAGGAGGATGGATGAGGAAGAAGAAGAAGAAGAAGAAAGAAGGAAGAAGAAGAAGAAGAAGATGAGGAAGAAGATGAAGGAAGAAAGAAGAAGATGAGGAAGAAGATGAGGAAGGAAGAAGAAGAAGATGAGGAAGAAGATGAGGAAGAAGAAGAAGAAGAGGATGAGGAAGAAAAGAAGAAGAAGAAGAGGATGAGGAAGAAGAAGAAGAAGAAGAAGAAGAGGATGAGGATGAAGAAGAGGATGAGGATGAAGAAGAAGAAGAAGAAGAAGGGAGGAAGAAGAAGAAGAAGAGGATGAGGAAGAAGAAGAAGAAAAGATGAGGAAGAAGAAGAAGAGGATGAGGATGAAGAAGAAGAAGAAGAAGAAGAAGAAGAAGAAGAAGAGGATGAGGATGAAGAAGAAGAAGAGGGTGAGGAAGAAGAAGAAGAAGAAGAAGAAGAAGAGGATGAGGAAGAAGAAGAAGAGGAAGAGGAAGAGGAAGAGGAAGAAGAAGAGGATGAGGAAGAAGAAGAAGAAGAGGATGAGGATGAAGAAGAAGAAGAAGAGGATCTGAAGGAAGAAGAGGATGAGGATGAAGAAGAAAGAAGATGAGGAAAAGAAGAAGAAGAAGAAGAAGAAGAAGAAATGAGGATGAAAAGAAGAAGAAGAAGGGATGATGAAGAAGAAGAAAGGATGAAGAAGAAGAAGAGGATGAGGATGAGGAAGAAGAAGAAGAAGATGAAGGAAGGAAGAAGAAGAAGAGGAAAGAGGATGAAGAAGAAGAGGATGAGGATGAATAAGAAGAGGATGAGAAGAAGAAGGAGAAGAAAGGAGGATGAGGATGAAAAGAAGAAGAAGAAGGAAGAAGAAGAAAAAAGAGGATGAGGATGAAGAAGAAGAAGAGGATGAGGATGAATGAAGAAGAAGAAGAAGATGAAAGATGAGGAAGAAGAAAGAAGGAAGAATGGAAAAGAAGAAGAGGAAGAAAAAGAAGAAGAGGATGAGGATGAAGAAGAATGAGGATGAAGAAGAAGAAGAAGAAGAAGAAGAAAAGAAGGAAGAAGAAGAAGAGGATGAGGAAGAAGAAGAAGAAGCTCCTCCTCCTCCTGAGGAAGAAAAGAAGAAGGAGGATGAGAAGAAGAAGAAGAAGAAGAAAGGAAGAAGAAGAAGGAAAGAAGAGGATGAGGATGAAGAAGAAGAGAGAAGGAAGAAGAAGAAGAAGAAGAGTATGAGAAGAAGAAGAAGAAAGAAGAAGAAGAAGAAAAGAGGAAGGATGAAAGAAGAAGAAGAAGAAGAGAAGAAGAAAAGGAAGGAGAAGAAGAAGAAGAATAGGATGAAAAAAAAAGAAGAAGAAGAAGAGGATGAGGAATGAGGAAGAAGAAGAAGAAGTATGAAGAGGAAGAAGGAAGAAGAAGAAAAAGAGTGGAAAAATAAAGGATGAGGATGAATGAAGAAGAAGAAAAGAAGAAGAAGAGGATGAGGATGAAGAAGAAGAAGAAGAAGAAAAGGATGAAGAAAGAAGATAAAGAAAAGATTGTTGAGAAGAAGGAAGAAGATGAAGGATGACAGAATGAAGTAAGAAGAAGAGGATGAAAAGATGAGAGAGAAAAGAAGAGGATGAAAGAAAGAAGAAGAGATGAGAAGAAGAAAGAAGAAGAAGAGGATCCTGAAGAAGATATAAGCTGAAGAAGAAGAATGAAGGATGAGGATGATGAAGAAGAAGAAGAGGATCCCGAAAGAAGAAGAGGATGATGGATGAAGAAGGAAGAAGAAGGGAGGGATGAGGAAGAAGAAGAAGAAGATGAGGATGATCCTGAAGAAGTCCCTACCGAAACTTCCTCTTCAGCCGAAGGAGATAGAATGCCGGCTCCTCCGCCAATGAAAAGAAGAAGCCATCCTCCTCCTGAAAATGAGAAAGAAGAAATAGTACTGTCAGCCTGAAAGAAGAACATCTTGAAGCTCAGCCCCTGCTCCTCCCTCCTTCTTCTCCAGCCTTCCAATCCGCCTCCCCCTGTCATGAAGAAGAAAGAAATCAATGCAGCCGAAGTCCTCCCTTCATCTCCATGCCTCCTCCCGAAGCTTGCATCCCTTCCGCCTCCCTGCAGTCCGAAAATCTAATCCTCCCCTCCTCCTCCTCCTCATCTCTCATCGCCTCCTCCCTCCTCCCCTCCTCCTCGAAGCATCTTTTCTCCGCCCCCGAATCCTCCCCGCCCTCCGGTCACTGATCCCCAGCCTCCTCCTTCCCCCCCGTCCTCCTTCCTGGCCAACAGCCCCTCCCTCCTCCCTCCCCCCCTTCCTCTTCATTCCCCCTCCTCCTATCCTTCCTCATCCTCCCCCCCTCCCCCTCCCATCCCACCCCTCCCTCAAGCTCTCCTTCTTCCTCTTCAGCCTCCTGAACCCCCCCCCCCATCCCTCCCATCTCCTCCTCCTCTCTGAAGAAGACTCCTCCCCTCTCCTCCTCCCTCATCCTCTGCCCCTCCCCCCCCTCCCCCTCCCCCCCTCCTTCCTTCCACCCCCCTTCCTCCTCTGTCCCCCTCCTCCTCCTCCTCTTCCATCATCCGTCCCGCCCTCCCCCCCCCTCCCTTCCCCCCCCTCTCATCCCCTCCAGGTCCTCCGTTCCTCCCGCCTCCCCCATCTGTTCCCCCCCCCCCTCCCTTCTCCCCTACCCTTCCCCCTCTCGCCCCCCTCCCTCATCCCTCTTCCTCCTCCTCCCCTCGTCCTTCATCGTCATCCTCCCCCTCCTCCTCCTCCCCCTGCCCCTCCCCCCCCCCTCCCCCCCCCCCATCCCCCGCCCCCCCCCACCCCTCCCACCCCCTGTCCCCTCCCCCTCCCCCCTCCCCCTCTCCCCCCCCCCCCCCCTCCATCCTCCCCCCCCTCCCCCCTCCTCCCCCCCTCCCCGTCCCCTCCCCTCCTCTTCTCCCTCCTCCCCCGCCTCTTCCCCTCCCCCCTCCCTCCTCCTCCCCCTCCTCTCCAGCCTCATCACCCCCGCCCCCCCGCTCCCTTTTCCCCCCTCCCTCCCCCTCCCCCTCCCCTTCCTCCCTCCTCCCCTCCTCCTCCCCTCCCCTTCCTCCTCCTCCCCCCCACCACCTCCTCCCCCTCCCGCCCCCTCCTCCCCCCCTCCTCCCCCTGTCATTTCCCCCCCCTCTTCCTCTCTCCCCTTCCATCCCCCTCCCCTTCCTCTTCTTCCTCCCCTCCGCCTCCTCCTCCCCCCCCCCCTCCTCCTCATCCTCCCCCTCCCTCCTCCCCCCTTCTCCCCATCCTCCCCCCCCCCCCTCCTCCTCTCCCTTCCCCCGCCCCCTTCCCCCCCCCCTTCCCCCCCTCCTCTCCCCCTCATCCTCCTCCTCCTCATCCTCCCTCCTCCTTCCCTTCTCCCCCTTCTCCCCTCCCCATCCTCTCCCCCCTCTTTTCCCCCCTCCCCTCCTCCTCCTTCCTCCCTCCTCCTTCCCCCCCTCCCTCCTTCATTTCCCCCGCCTCCCCCTTCTCCTCCTCCTCCCCCCCTGCCATCCCTCCCCTCCTCCCCTCCCATCCTCCCTCCCCCCCCCCCTCCTTCTGCCTGTCCCTCTCCCATCTCCTCCCTCCCCCCCTCCTCCCCCTCCTCGATTCCTCCCCCCCCCCCTCTTCCCTTTTCCCCCCCTCCCCCCCCCCCCCCCCTCCCTCCTCCCCTTCCCATCCCCCTTCCTCCCCCCCCCCCCCCCTCAATCCCCCTCCCCCCCCCTTCCTCTTCAGCATCCCTCTCCCCCTCCCCCCCCCCCTCCCCCCCCGCCTTCCCCCGCCGCCTCCTCTCCCCCCCCCGCCCCCCCCCCCTCCTTCCCCCCCATCCCCCCCCCCTCCTGTCCCCCCTGCTCCCCCTCCCCCCCTCCCCCTCTCCCCCTCCCCCCGCCGCCCCCCTCGCCCTCCCCCCCTGCCCCTCCCCCTCCTCCCCCTTCCCCCCCCCCCGTCCCCCCCCTCCCCCTTCCCCCCTCCCCCCCCGCCCCCCCCCCCCCCACCCCTCCCTCCCCCCCCCTCCCTCCCTCCCCCCCCCCTCCTCCTTCCCCCTCCCCCCCGCCCCCCCCCCCCATCCGATCCCCCCTTTCCTTCCTCCCCCCCCCCCCCCTTTTTCTCCTCCCCCCCCCCCCCCGCCCCCCCCCCCCCCCTCCCCCTCCTACATTTCCTCCCCCCCCCCTCTTTCCCCCCCCCCCCGCCCCCCCCCCTCCCCCCTCCGCCCTTCCCCCTCCCCCCCGCCCCCCCCCCCTCCCATCCCCCCCCCATGTCCCTCCCCCCCCCCCCCCCCCGCCCCTGCCCCCCCCCCCCCCTTCCCCCCTCCCTCCCCCCTCGCCCCCCTCCCCCCCCCCATCCCCCCCC